TTTTTTTTTTTTTCCTGTGGAGTAGGATGAGCTTGGGTCCAGGAGATAGTGAATCCCCAGAGCTGAGGCAAATGGTATGGCCAGGGAGGGCTGAGAGTCCTGGTGAAAGGACATAGAACTCAAGCTGGGGGAGAAAATATGGATGCCTGAGAGAGCCTTCTTTTATGCCTAAGAAGTTAGGAAAGGTGATTAGGGAGGAATACTAAAAAGGTGGAGGACCCCATATTGTTAGAGATGGCAGGACACAAATGGAGAGAATTAGAGAAGGAATATTAGTGATGTTTGGGGGAGGGCATTTGGAGCTATGCAACCTGAAAAAGAGCCCAAAGTAAGAGAGGAGCTCACCAAAATATGGTTGTATCAACACACAGAGGTTTTATTCACCTTAGAAGAAAGATCATGAGAAAATACAAATTTAAGTTAGACCAACCCTATTAAATAAGACAGTGCTCAGGGAGTCCCTTCACATAGCATTTTAATTACAATGAAATCAAATTATAATCCAGTCCACAATTTATCTGTACAAGGGAATGTGTTTTTCTAATAGCAATGAAGGCACAGGCCTCATTCCTAGGCTAAAAAGTCTGGAGACAAAACAGATCTTAAATGCTGCTAGCCTAGAATCAGTGGGAAGAAATGCCATCTGACATCACTTCACTTACTCTGCCTCACCCTTCTGAAAACCACTGTGATTCTTAAACTGGAAGCCAGCAAGCTTCTCTAAGCCTCCTAGGAATTAGGAAATCTACACGCAAGTGAGCTGTGTTACGAATTCATCCATACATTTGAGCAAATATATTGTTTTATTGTGTCTCCCAATAAAATGCAAAAGTTTCTAGCATCACTGAGAGTCTCAGGAATATAAATAAAAAAACAAACTAATATTTGTAAACTTTAGAAAAATATAGAACTCACTTTTTAATTTTTTTTTCGTTTTATTCATTTTTAGAGACAGAGAGAGCACAACTGGGAGAGGGGCGCAAGAGGGAGAGAGAGAGAGAGAGAGAGAGAGAGAGAGAATCTCAAGTAGGCTTCACATTCATCCCGACTCAGGGTTTGATCATAACCTGAGCCAAAATCAAGAGTCAGAGACCCAGCCGACTGAGCCACCTAGGCACCCTGGAACTCACTTTTGACATAATATTTTCATCTTTGAAATTCCCTCATCCATTATCTTCTAGGATAAACTGTACTGATTCTGTTCATTCATTTATTATTTATTCAATTAGTATTTACTGAGTGTCCAAATGTGCCAATCACTCTTCAAGGTACCAGGGGATACAGCATTGAAAAAAACAGAACCCCCCACCTTTTGGAAAACAACAACAACAACAACAAAAAAAAAAACCCTCCTTATTTCAATGTGCTTAAAGTGTCTCACCAGGCTTCTTCCATTTATGTTGCTACTTTTCTCTTTTTTTCTTTAGGTTTATTCATTCACCTTGAGAAAGAAAGAATGTGCATTAGTGAGGGAGGGGCAGAGAGAGAGGAGAGAGAGAGAGACAGAGACAGAGAGAGACAGAGAGAGACAGAATCTCAAGCAGGCTCTATGCTACCAGCACAGAGCATGATGAGGGGTTTGAACCCAGGAAACCATGAGATCACAACCTGAGATAAAACCAAGAGTTGGATGTTCAACTGACTGAGCCACCTACGCACCCCTTTGCTATTTTGCTATTTCTTGAATTAAATATACTTACTGCCAGAGAGTGACCTGAATGTGTGGTATCTATGAATTCATTTGATCCTCTGAACAGTCCTGTATGAGTGGCACTAACAATGTCCTCATATTTTAGAGGAAGTTTGGCACAGAAATGTGGACTTGGCTTTATCTAAACCTCGTTAGCTAGAAAATAGAATTTCCCCGACTGGTGCTCTTAAAAATAACCAGCTCATTCAGCCTGGGCCAGGGTCTGCTTCTCTAGCGAGAAGCCCTCTGTTTTTTGCTTTCTTTTCTAACTCCACATCTCTGTTGTTCAGCTCATACCTGCATCTGTTTGTTCTCAAAGAATCTTTTTTTTTTTTTTTTTTTTTTTTTTTTTTTTTTAGCCACCGAGACTCTGGACAGATAAACCTTTCAGACCCTGCCCACCACCAAAACTTCAGGCTAAGAACTTATCCTTAGAATAAGGACACACAAACCTCACATCAGCCCCAAACACCTGAGTCATGTGTCCCAGCCTCTCACTGGGACCTTATCGGCAGCCACTCATCGTCATCTGGTCCCACATACCAGCCTGCCTGGATGGCTGTCAGGTGGTGTATGCTGCTCCCTCCCATACAGTTCAGTTCTGTGCACCCTGTGTCCTCTGTGTGTGGCTTCCCTTCCTGCTTACTGCTTGTACTCACACCTCAGTTGTTAGCTCAGAGACTCCCTGAGGGCTACAGCCCAACCATGCAGGCTAGTTCAGAGTCCTCTATTATCTTCTTGTGCATGGGTGAACATCCTTTCTCCTAGTTAGTTCTTTGTAATTGCCTGAGTGCTCATGACGTGTCTTAAGGCTCCTTGGAGAGATGCCGGTTATATCTTTCTCTTACACTTGTGTCCGAGACTCTGACTACTGACACACGTGTGCTGAGGGAGACCGGATAATTAGGTCCAGGCATACCCACCATCACTCCAAACTCCACAGAATGGAAATTACATGTTGCACAGTGACAGACACTCCCTGTATTTGCCACCTTCCAGATGACCTAATGGCCTCACCATGCTTATCCTGAGTGGCATCATATCCTGTCTTCAAATTATCTTGCTCCTTATGCCTTTTTCTCAGTCTCCCCATCTCAGAGGTGAAGGAACACTGATGGGCTCTGCTTGAATTATTCCTTCTGAGGAAAGCCTCAGCCTACAGTTTTGCAACAGTAATAACAAGTATGCAGTCCTTATGGGACCCTCATTGAACTATGCCAGATACTTATGTTCTGAATCATTGCTGGTCTATACACCTATCATTATCCTACACACATTTGCAACATCTCCACAGCAGCCTACTTCATCTACTCATTTCATTTTTTTTGTTTTTGTTTTTTCTTTTTTTTTTTTAATTTATTTATTTTGGGAAAGAATGAAAGAAAGAGTGGAGAGGGGCAGAGTGGGGAGAGAGAATACCAAACAGTCTCTGTGCTGGGAGGGCAGAGCGCCACCCACTGCTCCAACTCACAAACACAGAGATCAAGACGTCAGCGTAAATCAAGAGTCAGGTGCTTACCAGAGTGAGCCACCCAGGTTCCCCTACTCATTTCTTTATCATGAGCTAATTAAACAGGAGTAGACAAATTAAAGTTTGGAACATATTTTAAGAACTTATTATGTCTTATAAGGATAAGGAGACCATGGAATAGTTCAGAAAGTAATGAAAGGCAGGAGCTCAACCATTCTCCAAATGCACTGACAGTGAAAACATGAGATTAAGGGCTCCATTAAGGTACAGTGTGAGGGATTCCATTAGAAATGTTCAGTTTCCCAGGAGGCCAGGGTTAACATTATTAAACACTATTTTAAAATGTTAATTTTATCCTTGTAACTGAGGGTTGTCTGAGCTATGACTTTTCCCAGGGAGTGGCTGGTTTGGACTCTTGGAGCGGAGCCAGTGGATAAAACCCTTCCTGGGCCTGCATCTTCTGACGCTGTAGAGTCCCTCCCTTCTGTGCCAGAGCACTGGCCCAGATAGCGTGCGCAGGGGAAGAGAGCGCTGCTATCAGCGGGGCCAGGCGACTTCCAGCCTGCCATGGCCTCTGGGGCACCTGGGGAGCGGTTGCGCGAGGAGGCTAGGTGCCCGGTGTGTCTGGATTTCCTTCAGGATCCGGTCAGCGTGGCCTGTGGCCACAGCTTCTGCCTCAGGTGCATCTCGGAGTTCTGTGAGAAGTCTGACAGCGCGCAGGGCGGCCTCTATGCCTGCCCGCAGTGCCGGGGCCCCTTTGGGCTGGAGAGCTTTCGGCCCAACCGGCAGCTGGCCAGCCTGGTGGACAGCGTGCGGCAGCTGGGGCTCGGCGCGGGGCCGGTGGGAGTGCGCCTGTGTGCGCAGCACTGCGAGGAACTGACCCTCTTCTGCGAAGTGGACCAGGAGGCACTGTGCTGGGTCTGTGACACGACTGCTGAACACAGGAGTCACCACACCATGCCTCTGCAAGAGGCAGCTCGGTGTTACCAGGTGAGAGTCCCTGTGCGCACCCTGCAAAGCACACGTTGAGAGGCCCCCACTGCGAGTCTGCAAATGCGGCCCAGACATCCGAGCGGACTGAGCCACAGGTGTTAGTGACAAACCCTAGGGACAAACCCACATGATACTATCCTGATCTGTGCCCTTCCCACATCCTGTCTCTCACAGCCCACATTCAAGTTCAGTCTCCTTGCCTTATAGTAACCCCCTTTTGGGACCTCTATTCAGGAGTTCAAATGCACCCTTATTTTAGACTGTCCCTTTTCCCATGAAGCCTTCCCTAGCTTTTTAGTTTCATCTTTTTTTTTTAAAGTTTATTTATTTATTTTGAGAGAGAGAGCAGGGGAGATGGCAGAGAGAAAGGGAGAGAATCCCAAGCAGGCTTAGTGCAGAGCCCCTAGTGGGGCTCAAACCCATAGGCCTTCAGATCATGACCTGAGCCAAGTCAAGAGTTGGATGCTCAACTGACTGAGCCACCCAGGTGCCCCTTCTCTTGGTTTTATTCTTGCTGATGCTGACATTCTGGTTCCAACAGCAAGACCTCTGGTGTGGAGGGTTGTGTTATCCAATTGGTTCTTGATTACAGGTGTGTGTCTTTATTTTAAATACTTCTTAATAACTCCCAGTTGTATAATGCCTTGCTTTTTCATAATGCTTCTATGTTGATTAATATTGTCACCAAAACAATGCCGGGGTTTGGACACTTGTTAAGAATAGTGTCTGTGAGTACACAGCTCTGATCACTTGTAAAGTCTGCAGATGCATGTGTACCCTGAAGTAAGAGTCCAGTAGGTAAGCACACAGGCCAGTCTCTCTTCAACACCTATTTGGCAGCTGATGATGTGAGCATCCTCAATGCAGACAGGACTCGTATTGGAGTATTTGGCCCTCAAAGTGGCATCTGTGAAACTCTAACAGAATTTTCCCTACTGATGCTCTTCAAGAGTTCTTTGACATATCCTGATCATGTCTTTTTTTTTTAATGCTTATTTATTTTTGAGGGAGGAACTGAGAGAAAGAGAGAGAGAGCAGAGGAGGGACAGAGAGAGAGAGGGGACAGAGGATCTGAAACAGCTCCAGGCTCTGTGCTGGAGCCTGGAGGATCTGTGCTGTCAGCTCAGAGCCTTGATGCAGGGCTCAAACTTACAAACAGTGAGATCATGATCTGAGCCGAAGTCGGATGCCTAACTGACTGAGCCAGCCAGGCACCCCATCTGATCATGTTTAAATTCCCAACATCTGGAACAGCTACTACCACAAAGGAGATCAAAGTCATCTTTAATCTACTGACATGTCTAACTGAATACTATCACAATGAAATAATTTGCAAACATTGAATTTCTAAAATAATAATAATGTTATTATTTTAATTTTGTTTTACTTTTTAAATTTTCTTAATGTTTATTTTTGAGAGAGAGACAGACAGAGCATGAGCAGGGGAGGGGCAGAGAGACAGGGAGACAGAGAATCTGAAACAGGCTCCTGGCTCTGAGCTGTCAGCACAGAGCTGACTCAGGGCTCAAACTCAGGAACCTGAGATCTTGACCTGAGCCAAAGTTGAATGATTAACCGATTGACCCATTCAGGTGCCCCTTAACTTTGTTTTAAATTAAGGTTTTGAGACATTTCTTACCTCAACTTCCTTGTTGACACACCTAGAAATATCTCTTAGGTTTTTTTTGTTTGTTTGTTTTTTGTTGTTGTCATCTACAAAATTCAGGTGCCAGCTACTTTCTACCTACACTTTTAAAGCATGTTGTCCCTGCTTTCTTTTTATCCAGAAGTTACCTCAATCTAACTTGATTGCATGTAATATGTCTCAAGAAGTTCCTTATATTTCAGTAGTCCTTAATTAAATGCCAGATAAATATCTTTTAAACTCCTTCACCTGTCAGTCAAGACTTTCTAGGGCCCCAACTTCTGTTTCCACAGTTCTTGTCTTAGCCAACCATGAGGTCCAACAAAACCAGCCTGATCACTGTGGTCCCCAAACAGGCCACATCTTTTTCCCCTCCTTGCTTTTGCTCACAGTTTCTTCTGCCCAAGGGAGCTTTCCTCTAAGTGTCACAGTTCTATTTCTTGCAAACACTAAAACCAATGCCACTTCCCCCATCTTGTCAAACGTTTCCATAAATTCTACTGCTAGTTTATGTAGAGCGCTATGGATAAGATTATAGAAGTTTCTTTTTAAAGTCAATTGTTGTTTAAGACTTATTAAATGGCTTTAGAAAGAGTTTCCCCCCCCCCCATTTTTCCTAAGATTTATTGAATGACTTGGGACAAATTTAAAAATATGCATATTGAGTATCTTTATGGGTGTTCTCTGTAGATAAAATGTATGTGTTTATTTCTAGCAGTGGTTGAAAGGAGATATAGTTTCTGGTTTTTTTTTGTTAATTCCTCATAAGATTTATGACATTCTCTATCTTCTTTTCATTTAAGCATTAGTAATTTGCAAGGTTTCAGTTGACCAAATAATAATAAACAATTTTCTTATTATAAATCAATAAATAATTTTAAGAAGTTTAAATATATAGATACAAGGAATAACATCACTTTTGGGGTGCCTGGGTGGCTTAGTCAGTTGAGCATCCAACTTCAGCTCAGGTCATGATCTCACAGTTCATGAGCTCAAGCCCCACATTGGGCTCTCTATTGTCAGTGCGGAGCCTGCTTTGGATTCTTTCTCTCCCTCTCTGTCTGTCCCTCTCCTGCTCACTCTGTCTGTCTCTCTCAAACTAAGTAAATGTTAAATCAGATTATTTAAAAAAAAAAGGTATACACTTTCAACCAAGCACTAATTAAGATGCAAATTTGTCTACTGAACATTTGATGCTAACTAGTTTTTATATATCCATTGCAAGTACTTTTTTTTCCCAAAATTGGTGGCATATTATATAAAATACACTTATTTCAATTTATTTTATAATTGTGAATATTTCTTGTCATTCAGTATTTTGCAACACACTATTTTAGTTCCATCATGTTAATATAAAATATATTTTTCTCACTCTCTTATTGTTGACACTTGAAGTTACAATTCTACTATTTTGTTTATTTTATTTCATTTTATTTTATTACTTACTTAATTTATTTATTTTGAAAAGCACTTGTTAGCATTTCAAGCTACCAGGATGCAACCTCCCAACACCCCATCACCACACCCTTAATCTTCTTCTCAGCTCTTCTGCTGAGAAATTTGACCTTCTCCATAACAGACTGTATTGGGACCTTTCTGTTTCCCCAAACTTTGTAGTAGCCGGATCATACCACATTGATGATAGGGGCAGCTCCAGTCTTGTTTTTCACAGCATTTCCCGGTGTCTGCTCACTGACATGTCCACTGTTTATCAAGGCTAACAGTAGAACAGACACTCTGGTTCCTCTTTAAGTGGTAATGTCTCACTTATACCACCTTTTCCAAAGTAACCTGGGCAATATTTGTGGAGGTTAGTTGATAACTATGGTGATTCATGAGGCCAGCATTACCCTGGCCTCCTGGGTGCTTCTGTGCTTCTCAGTGCAGCCATGGCTGTGGCTCATGTGGCCCCTAAGCTTCAAGATCTTCTGCAATATGGATGGTATGTCCACAGCCCAAAGGAAAGAGAGTCCTACTATTTTAAATTATGCTGCAATGAACATATATTTAGATAAATCTTTAATTATACCTGGCATTAATACTTAAAAATATATTTATATTTTACTTAATCCTTAATGAGGTTAAACATTTTTATGTGCTCACTAAAGCCTGTTTTAATTGATCTTTGTATTTCCTGGTTAACTTGGTTGATTCCAGGTACTGAAATAGGGCATATACAATGGGTTCAGTGTATCTTTCCAAACAGGTAAAGCTCCAGAGGGCCCTGGAAATGGTAAGAAAGAAGATGGAGGAGGCCTTGACTCAGGAGGTCAATGTGGGGAAGAAAACTATCATTTGGAAGGTAAGAGATTCTTCGAACTTCAGGAGGCTTGCTTTTCCGAAAGATCCAAGTTTGGGTCATTAAATTACTGTTCAACCATTTTTCCTGCTCCAGTACTTTTGTTCCATTTATATACTTACTCTTGGGAAACATCTCAGTGTCATCCTGGGTCATCCCATCCTCGCAAATTACATCATGTATGTGTGTTCTTTTTATCTCTATTAATAGTACCCCAATCCAAATTGTAAATAGATAGTTTTACTGATCTTAATCTTACTATAATTTACTGCTCTATTCCTAATACCTAGAAAAGAGTCTCATACTATCATCACTAGTTTAAAATATATGTATTTGTGTGTGTATATGTATATATATATATATATGTATATAGGATGAATGGCATAATAAATACTTCGCAGCATTGATAGATATGAAATATAGCTAATAGTGATCATCTTACAGATAGGAAGATAATGTGAACTTTCACCTCTTTTCAGTAATTCATATATATGTCCTTTTTTTTTACAGTTCATCAGTTTTTTCACTTAACTCTTCATACACACACACATGCGTACACACATACCACACACAGTGATGTCAATCTGCAGTGATTTTGCCTTCTAAAGGATATTTAACAATATATGTAGATATTTTTGGTTCTCACAATTTGGCGGGGGGGGAGTGGGCTCGCTACTGGAATTTCATGCGTGAAGGGCAAGCATGCTGCTAAACACCATACAAAGCACAGGACAGCCCATGGAAGCTCATAATTAAAAAAAATAAATTTAATGTTTATTTATTTTTGAGAGAGAGATACATCGTCAGTGGGGGGGATGGGCAGAGAAAGAGGGAGACACAGAATATGAAGCAGGTGCCAGGCTGTGAGCTGTCAGCACAGAACCTATGCAGGTCTCAAACCCACTAACCTTGAGATCATGGACCCGAGCCAAGCCGATGCTTGAACCCATCGAGCCCACCAGGCTCTATTTTTTTTTTTTTTAATTTTAATGTGAAACTCATAATAAAGAATAGTCTGGTAAGATATCATTAAGGTCAAGATTGAGAAACTATACATAGAAGTTATATGTAAATAATATATAATATATATATAGGATTTATTTTATACAGTATTTCTATTATTTGTCTGTCTCCAAATAACCCTTATTCTGTGATCATATTCTATAATGTTTCTAATTATATTTTTAAGTTTATTTATTTTGAGAGAGAGAGAGAGAGAGAGAGAGAGAGAAAGATCAAGCACATGAATGCACACCAGAGTGGGGGAGGGACAGAAAGAGAGGTAGAGAGAGAATCTCAAGCAAGCTCTGTACTGTCAGCATGGTGATGAGCCCAACGTGGGGCTTGAACTCACAAATTGTGAGATCATGACTTGAGCTGAATGAAATCAAGAGTCAAAGGCTTAATGAACTGAGCCATTAGGTGTTCCTATATTTTTCTAATTCTTTCCTTACTCTTTTCTTAAAATTTTTGTTTTATACACTCTCCTCAGACAGATATTTCCATAAGGACCATTTAGGCTACATTTTTCTTCTGTGTTGAGTCTTATCTTTTTCTATTGCTATGCAATATGTAGTTAATGTATGTAGTTACATGTAGTTAAATACTTAATGATAATTTTTGTTCTTTTTGGGCTAATAATCCAAGTCTCTCTCCCTCCCTCTCTCTCTGCTCTGCTCCCCAACTTGTGCTCTCTGTCTCTAACATAATAATGATAATTAAAAAAATAAAATAAAAAGTGATAGCTTATGCCCTTTAATCAAACCAAGGCATTATAATGTTTAGCAATGAGCCTGGGAATCCAAAATGAGAGACTGTGGGAGGTTAACTTGCCACCTATACTCAGTTTAAAGCTAGTTTTCCACATATCAGTATGAAGAGAATAAAATTTATGTCTCTGTGTATAATAATGCTGCATCAAAGTATATTCCTTAGGTCTATTTAAAAAATGTAGATGTGAGATTTGGGTGGAAATCAGTATTAATTTCCTGAAGTCAACTCTGCGGTAAATGGCCTGACAATCATTTATTTACTTTTGGGCTATACAGAGAATGTTAGCCTTAGGTTTCACAATTACGATATTACTAAGTAATATTCACATCTCTACTCTCTAAGACTCTTTTTCACATTTACAAATCTAGGTCTCTGTAAGCTCTTTTCATAAGTTATTTCCACCCTGTTCTCATTCTAGTGAATATTTTTTTTTAAATCAGGCTCTTTTTTGTTTAAGTTTATTTATTTATTTTGAGAGAGAGTGCAAGTGGGGGGGGCAGAGAGAGAAGGAGACAGGGAATCCCAAGCAGGCTCTGCACTGTCGGCACAGAGCCAGACATAGGGCCTGAGCCCGCCAACTTTGAGATCATGACCTGAGCTGATCCCAGTGCTTAAGGAACTGAGCCACCCAGATGTCCCTCTAGTGTAATAATCTATAATGTATTTTATGTATAGTATAATAATGTATTTTAACTTCATTATGCAACTATTCCTTGCTAGTCATTCTGCTCAGCAGTTTAATAGATATGCAATTTTAATTCCCATACCATACACCTGTTTCCCCATATTTTATTTATGTTTTATTTTATCTTAGAGAGAAGGCACAATCAGGGGAGAGGGACAGAGGGAGAGACAGAGAATCTTTTTCTTTTTTTTAATTTTTTTAACATTTACTCATTTTTGAGTGACAAAGACAGAGTATGAGTGGGGGGAGTGGCAGAGAGGGGGGAGACACAGAATCTGAAGCAGGCCCCAGGTTCTGAGCTGTCAGCACAGAGCCTGACGCGGGGCTCCACTTCATGAACCGTGAGATCATGACCTGAGCCGAAGTTGGACGCTTAACAGACTGAGCCACCCAAGTGCCCAGAGAGAGAGAGAGAGAGAATCTTAAGCAGGCCTCATGCTCAGCAAGCTCGATCACATCACCCTGGGATCATGACCTGAGACAATATTAAGAGTTAGAGGTTCAACTGAATGAGCCATGCAGGTACCTCTCTCCATATTTTATTTTATTATTTTTTTAAATAAAGTTTATTTATTTATTTTGAGAGAGACAGAGTGAGTGGGGGAGGGGAAGAGAGAGAATTGCAAGTAGGCTTCATGCTGTCAGCGCAGAGCACACAGGGCTTGAACTCATGAAGTACAAGATCCTGACCTGAGCCGAAATCAAGTGTGGGATGCTCAACCAATTCAGCCACCCAGGTGCCTCTCCCCATATTTAAAATGTGGCTCCAAAACTTGCCTATAAAAGTGCCTTGCACCCAACTCCATGGCAAAATGGGAACCCAAATCCAACTGTCTTCTCAAACTCTAGTGGTCTCTGGTTCCTGCATGTTGTTAAAATGCAGCCCATTCATTCACAGACATTGCCTCCAGCCTCACTGTCCCATACCTGCATGGGGAAGCCAGACGCTGTGCCCCCACTGCTGATGCTCTGATCCCCTGTGTCACTCCAGGAAAAAGTGGAGATGCAGAGGCAGCGCTTCAGGCTGGAGTTTGAGAAGTATCGTGGCTTCCTGGCCCATGAGGAGCAGCTCCAGCTGCGGAGGATGGAGGAGGAGGAGCGAGCCACCCTGCAGAGACTGCGGCACAGCAAGAACCTTCTGGGGCAGCAAAGCAAGGCTCTGAAGGAGCTGGCTGAGGAGCTGGAGGAGAGGTTCCAACGCCCAGCTCTGGGGCTGCTGGAGGTAAGCCTGGGCGCCTCCGGCACAGGGAGGCTCAAGTGCCAGACCACAGGGACAAATAGCCGCTTTCAGAGACAAGTCACATAGTCATTCATGCTTTTTAGCAAAAGGACACCCTAGAATGTATGTGTGAGGCACCTTAATTCGAAGTCCTAGCATCAGAATGAGAAGGGACCCTACACAATTCTATAAAATAGTTCATAGTAGAGAGAAAAGTTTAAGTATTTTTTAAAAAGTAAAATTAATTTGGTATCTTACCTATAAGGTTAACCAGAAAACGGACAATCTATGCTATGTTTCCTGCAAAACACTTCTTTTTAAATTTTTTAACATTTACTTTTTTTTTTTTTTTTTTTGAGAGAGAGAGAGAGAGAGCGAGAGAACAGGGGAGGGGCAGAAAGAGAGGGAGACACAGAATCTGTAGCAGGCTCCAGGCTCTGAGCTGTCAGCGCAGACCCCAATGCCAGGCTCAAACTCATGAACCTTGAGATCATGATCTGAGCCTAAGTCAGACATTTAACTGTGAGCCACCCAGGGGCTTCATGAAAAACACTTCTTAAAACTTCATAGTCAATCTGTCAATGATGATATGCTATATTTCAGTGATGGCCAATTCCAAAAGTCTTGGGTAATCCATTTCAGTGTCAGAGCTGAAAATATGAATGATGGTTTAACTTGTTCAGCTTGAAGTTTTCCTGTTAAATCTTATGGCAAACACTAATTTCCTTGTCCATATTGCATGCCTATTCCAGGCAAAGTGAAGAGGGATTCAGTGGGTTTCGTGCAGTTTCCTTATAATCAGTAAGGATTATACAGCAGAGACACAAATAACAAGAAAAAATATTTGTTCTTAACCCTCCAGGAGGTCATCAAAATCCCAAGTGAACTGAGAAAGTCATTGTTGTTAATGTACGCATATTATCATGATAGAATCTACTGCAGTCAAAGATTTCTGGGCATATTTCATTCTGTCTCATCCCCAGTGACTCATCAGGATATTCTGAACTAAGTAATTCATATCATCCCTTAGCCACTGACCCACAGATTCCACCTTGTCTGAGTTAGTTCCGGACACTGAAAGTACCATGAAATAAATATTCATATTAACTATCTATATAATGTTTACAAGTACAATGAATAAACAGCACTGGTTACATAGTTGGGGGAGGTCATTGAATGAATGAACTTACAATGCGTTTTTATTTATTTTGTCTAATTTAATTCATTTTGTCTTCAATATATCTGTATCTACACAAAATTTATTATTATTATTACTATTATTATTATTATTACTATTACTATGCTCATTTCCTTGTGAGCACACTAAGTATGAGAAAGGAATTAATTTTCTGAATTTCAGACAGTAAATATACACAGAAAGTTTAACATTTTCCTTTTTTCTAATTGTTATATATATTTTTAATGTTTATTCATTTTTGTGTGAGAGACAGAGTGTGAGCATGGGAGGGGCAGAGAGATAGAGGGAGACAGAATCCAAAGCAGGCTCTAGGCTATGAGCTGTCAGCACAGAGCTCGATGCAGGCTCAAAAACACAAGCTTTCAGATCATGACCTGAGTTGAAGTCAGATTCCCAACCGACTGAGCCACTCAGGTGCCCTTAATATTTTCAATAATAATATTCATCATCTTATCTTACTATATCTCAAAACACACCATTACTTTTTTTTTTTACATTTATTTATTTTTGAAAGAGAGACAGCACAAGTTGGGGAGGGGTACAGAGAGGGAGACAGAATCTGAAGCAGGCTCCACGTTCTGAGCTGTCAGCACAGAGCCAGACGAGGGGCTTGAATTCACCAACCATGAAATCATGACTTGAGCTGAAGTTGGAAATTTAACCAACTGAGCTACCCAGGTACCCCACAAAACACACAATTTAAAACTAGCATTTATTAGCACCAAAAGTTGTTAAAATGATTTATAGTACAAATCTTAGGGAGAATATATTCTAAAATTATTTATGTTGATTGTTATATCCACCTTTGCCTTTCTTCCTCAGTACCAGTAAGCAGCATTTTACCCTCCCACCCCCCAAAGCCTGCCAGTCCCATAAAAAATAATTATTTCCCTGCGTTTATGCCTTCTGAAAATTATCTACCACGCGGGTATTTTTTAGAGGGAAAAGGAAAATTTAAGGCAGGTGATTTATTTAAATAATCTCCTTTGAGATAAACTGTTGCTATTAATTAATGACTTTCTTTTTTATCCAGTTAGTAAACCTACTTCCATATGAGTTCGTAGCTATGGTAGGTTGGTTCAACGAATGAGGAATTTGGGGTTTTCTTACAGAGACATTGAGAGTAATATTTTTTTGTCTATACCTTTCATCATCCCTCAAATGAATTCTGGAGACATTTATGGTCTATTTTTACCTTCATTTCATCCACATTAGTTACCAGAATGTATTTCTCTATTAAAATATCCAAATGTCAGAATTATCAATTCAAAAAATAATTAAGTTGGTTGATATCATAGGAGTTAACCTAAACTTTGTGTAGTCTGATTCTATTCAAATAGAGGCAAACTGATTCTATTATGTTAAAATTCATGAGAAAAGTCAACAGCCAAGTTTTGGATTTGGTTAAGAGAGATTGATGTCTCCTCTATTTTCATCTTCATAGTTAATTATTTCTGATCATTCCTAAAGAGATGTTCATAGTTTGTTTCCAATCTGTCAAAAGCAGTTCAGAGGGCTGACTCACACCTGCTTGTATTTCTCTTTTACTTTCAGGGTGTGAGAGAAGCATTGAGCAGGTATGTTTACTTTCTGAATCAGGGAATGGGTTTGGAGATGACAAGGAAGGTGGTTGATAAGTCCTACTGAGAATTATTGGTTCTGTGTCCTTCTCAGAAGTAAGGATGTCACACAGCTGGAACTGGAGAACATCCCCATGGAGCTGAAGACAATGTGTCACATCCCTGGGATGAGGGAAATGTTGAGAAAGTTCCAAGGTAGGCTGCGTCTTTGAGCTTGGAGCCCAGGGTTTGGCTGTTTTTGTAATGTGTTACTGCAGAAGTCAGTCTGCAGAAACAAACAGAACCCAAAGTATACTGACTAAAATCAGTAAAGGGCTATTTTTAAATCATGTCATTGGCTTCTTTCTGGATTGTGGAGGCTTTTGTTTCACCTCATCTCCCTCTGGGAGCCATGCAGATAGAGCCCAACCTCCTTTCTGTTGCTGGTAGTTTTGGGAAAGGGCACGGTTATGGTGATTTGGGTACTGCTCCTAAAGGCAACCACACTACAGTGGAACACTGGCTTCCCTAAATATTTTATTAAGTAAAGTGAGTCACATGGCCATGCCAAGTTATAAGGGTGGGTGGGAGAGAACACTTTGTTCAGAAGAAAGAAAACTGGGATATGTGTATAATTATAAAAAATATGAGAGGTACTAACACACATTTTAGCTACATTTAGTTAGAACAATATAGACTTGAAAGTGTGGTTCTTAGTTTATTAACTGTGATTTGAGTAAAATTAGTTCCAATGAATATTCATTTCCCTGTTTATAAAATGCTGAAAAATGTATTATTGTTTGGAAGACTAAATGAATGATATTTGAAAGCAGAAAAATAACCAATATAAAAGCCTTAAGGTACATCAAATAAGAGATTTGATTTTTAAAAATTTTTTTTAACGTTTATTTATTTTTGAGACAGAGAGAGACAGAGAATGAATGGGGGAGGGTCAGAGAGAAGGAGACACAGAATCTGAAACAGGCTCGAGGCTCTGAGTTGTCAGCACAGAGCCCGATGTGGGGCTGGAACTCATGGACCGCAAGATCATGACCTGAGCTGCAGTCCAACGCTCAACTGATTGAGCCACCCAGGCGCCCCGGGATTTGATTTATTATCTGTCGCTTGAGGAGGATCCAATGATATTCAATCAATTACTTTTGTGTACGAATAACTGTGGTGACATAAATTTGTCTATTAGATTTGATTATTCTGTTCTTTAAAACAATATAGATTCAATATTTGTATTTATTTTTTATTTTGTGTTTTTTTAATGCTTATTTTTATTTTTGAGAGAGAGAGAGAGAGCATGAACAGGGGAAGTGCAGAGAGGCAGGGAAACACAGAATCTGAAACAGGCTCCAGGCTCTGAGCTGTCAGCACAGAGCCTGATGCAGGGCTCGAACTCACAAATTATGAGATCATGACCTGAGTCAAAGCCGAACACTCAATTGACTGAGCCACCCAGGTACCACTGTATTTATTTTTTTTAAATTCACGTTATATGCAGCAATGAAAACAAACAGTGGCTAAATATTGGTTTCACTACTTACAGGGAGACAGCTTTGACCCATATTGAGAAAACCCATGTTACCAGTCCTGCTCCTGCTTAATGATGGGAAAATTAATATATACCAACTGCATGAATTGTTACAATTTATTAAACTCTCATAATCAGTGTCATAATATTCCCATTTCTTTTACTGAATTAAATAATTAATGAATCAATTCAATAAAATGAATTTATGCCAGTCACTACTCTAAGTATTGAAATATATTATTGAACAATAACAAAAAATCCTACAAATCCATAACTTTGTGTTGTAAATATTTACTTAAATTATGCAAAATACACAGAATGTTAGAAGATTATACAGAATATAAGGTAAGGGTAGCCAGAAGTTTGTGGGGTAGGGCATCTAAACTTGAATTTGACAATAAAGGAGGGCCCCTTCAGTGATAACTCAGCAGATATCTAATCTGAAAGAAAACATTCCAGGCAATAGAAACAATGAGTGCCCATGCCTGAGATAGAAATATAGAAGATGTGTTTCAGGAACTATGAGGTCTCTGTAGCTGGGGAAGAATTAACAAGGGGAGAGTCAGAGAGGCCAAGACAAGACCAATTAGCACAGGGTGGTATGGGCAGGTCACTGTGAGCAGGAAGCTTTACCTTTGAGTAAACAGGAAATCAGTAAAAAACTGTGAATGGAGGAATAGCATGATTATATTAATGTTTTGATATTAATCACTCTGTATTTCATCAACATAGTTTTATTTTTAATATCATAATAACAAATACTATTCCAATGACCACTTCTAGCGATCTTGTGTTGAAACTCAAACCTGAGTTGGTCACATAAATAAAACATCATCTCTGCTAATGCATTTACCCACTCTGTATGCTTCACTGAGAATAAATTCAAAGGGGCAAGGCTTTGTGTGGGAAAAGCAATTAGGAGCCTTTGCAATAATTCCATTAGAGATGATTGTGGATTGGATCAGAGTGGTACTGTTGGAGGTGCTGAGGTGTGTACAGAATCTTGGCATATTTTGAAGGTAGAGCTGGCAAGATCTGCTTTTGGATTAGATGTGAGTTGTCAGAGAAAGAGAAAAGTCCGAAATGACCCAAAGATTTAAATCTCTAGAGCTGGTGTAAGGAAGTTGCCATTTACATTGATGGTTAAAGGGCAGGTGAGGCAGAAGGAGGGGAGTTGGGTTTTGAGCATATCAATCTTGTGATGAGTATTAAATCTCAAAAGTTTGATGTCAGGTAGGCAAATGATTTTGCAAATATGGAGTTTCAGGAGAAAGGTCTAAGGTAGAGATATGCATTTGGAGTCAGTAAGCATATTAATGGAATTAAATTAAATCAATGAGCCAACCAGCCCAAGAACTATTGTGTGCTGAGACAGAAAGAAGAGGTCCAGGTCCTGAGACCACTGGTTTCTCCAATGGCAGTGATGGAGAAGAGGAGAAAACAGGAAAGGGGATCAAGAAAAAGTGAGGAGAAAAGAGGGAAGGAAAGCGTGATGATGGCTGTCTTTGGGAAAGAGAAAGGAGGTTTTTCAGAACAAGGGTATTCTCAACAGCATTAATGCTACAGAGAAGTAATTTAAGGTGAACTCATCAGTGTGGAGGTCACTGAGGAGATGGACACGGACAGTTTGATTACAGTGTTGTTATATCGTGATGAGCAATTGAATCTAACAGAGAAGGGTTGGGGAAGGAATTGGAGACAGACCATATTAGAAACCATGTCACAGATTTATTTTCTTATAAATGGAGCAAGGAAGTGTGGTGGCTGGGAAATAATGTGTAAAGACATAACATACATCAAATACACCTAGCACAATTCCATGGAAAACCATGTCTCAGTCTGTTATTTATGACTTCTAGAATATGGAGAGACCACATAAGCTCTGATTCTGAGTCTCCTCAGCTGTAATGTGGGGATGATAATGGCCACTCTGTGGGTGGGTAAATGCATTAGCAGAGATGAGGTATTATTTATGTGACCAACTCAGGTTTGGGTTTCAACACAAGATCGCTAGAAGTGGTCATTGGAATAGTATTTGTTATTATGATATTAAAAATAAAACTATGTTGATGAAATTTATTATTTTGAATATTTATAAGACAAGACACTGAATATTTTACATCCTTCCTTCTTCACTGAGATTTCACACATGCACAAGTAAAACTTCACATCAATCTGACTGGGACTTCACAGCATCAATATTGGTTTTCTATTGGTGTATAACAAACTACCACAGACTTAACTGCTTAAAACCTCACATGCTTATTAGCTCATAATTATACAGATCAGACATCCATGTGGGATCAGCTAATTTTTCTCCTTATGGTTTCACAAGATCAACATTAAAGTGTTGGCCAAGCTGGTCTTCTCTGAAGAGTCTGGGGAAGAATCCACTCCCAAGTTTATTCAGTTTATAGACATAATGTAGTCCTGACAGTTGTAGGGCTGAGATCCCCATTTTAAGAATTCGTGTGATTATATTAGATCCACTCAGATAATCTTCCTCTTTTCAAATAACATAACATAATCCTGAGAGTAGCACCAGGGTATGAAGGTCATGGAGCTCATCTTAGAATTCTGCCTACCACAGTAACATAACTTTGAAAGTAGTGGATTTCAAATTAATGAAATTTCCCTATGGATTTTGAGAAAAAAAAAATAAATGTGGAAGATCTTCCTAAGAACACCCAAGTGCTCTGAATTTAGATGAAAGGAATCTAAATGGTCATGCACATGGTTTGTCATATTATCAATGGTTATGTTTTTATTGAGGCAATAATGAGTTCTGAATCATGTAGAGGTAACTGAGGAATACACAAGTGAGTGATGAAGAAAATAGTCAGCCACCTGCAAGGTAAAATATTTATTTCACTTTCTCTAGGAGTTAATAGAGAGAGAGAGAGAAATGGGGAGTATTATGGACTATTATCCATAATATTGTGGCTTCCTAAGTTTTTACCTGTCTTTTCTGACGTTTCATATGTCCCACAAAATTCTTCCCACAGTTGATGTCAAGCTGGACCCTGTCACAGCGCATCCTAGCCTCCTCTTGACTGCTGATCTGCGCAGTGTGCAGGACGGAGAGCTGTGGAGGGATCTCCCCAACAACCCGGAGCGATTTGATACATGGCCCTGTGTCCTGGGTTTGCAGAACTTCTCCTCAGGAAGGCATTACTGGGAGGTCATGGTAGGAGAAAGAGCAGAGTGGGGTGTAGGTGTCTGTCGAGAGACGGTGCTGAGAAAGGGGGAGACCACACCCTCTCCTGAGAACGGAGTCTGGGCCATGTGGCTGCTGAAAGGAAATGAGTACATGGTCCTTGCCTCCCCATCTGTACCTCTCCTCCACCTGGAACGGCCTCACTGCATTGGGATTTTTTTGGACTATGAAGCAGGTGAAATCTCCTTTTACAATGTAACAAATGGGTCTTACATCTACACATTCAACCAACTGTTCTCTGGTGTTCTCCGACCTTACTTTTTCATCTGTGACACGATTCCTCTTACCTTGCCACCTATGACAGATGTGGAGTCAGAAAATTGGGCATCCAGGGGTCATCTTTACTCTGCTTCTAATGTTGGACATGATCATTCCTAAAATTCTGTTCCTGAGAATTTTATGCCTAGCAAGTTTTCCTGGAGTGGAATCGGGAGGATGCAAATATGCTAAGCCCCAAAATGTCCCCATTTAGATCAGCACTTTAATCCTTATTGCTATAGACATTTTTCCATGAGGACAAAACAGAAAATATGAAATATTTGCATCTGGAGGAGGATTATAGAGCATAATAATTTTAGAAATGCAGCAATCTCCTCAAGTCTTTCCAGGTGGTGCTACAGATTTTCTTGATAAGGCTTTCTTCAAGTGAATGGACCTGGTGTTAAACAAAGATTTCTATACATTCATTATAATTTCACATTCATTTTTATATCCTTTTGTTCCAAGTCTTCGATATATTGAGAATAAGAAATGTCATTTTTTTTTGAAATGGCAATTCCTAAATTCGTGGAGAACAGTCCAATACAGCATCAGATCTATAATTCTGTTTCTCCCTCTCCTTATTTCCCTTCTCTTCTCTCATTCTTTCTGTGTGTTTGTCTCCGTCTCTAACTTCTTCTCTTTCTTGCTCTTGACTTTTTTTTTTCTCTCTACCTCTTCTTGTTTAGCCTTCCATTTTTTTCTAGATTAACAAATTCAGGACCATTTCTTTTTATTCAATTTTCCTATGACTACATTCATTTACTCTTTGAATCCTCTTTGTACTGAGACTAATTTCTGAGGATTCTGGAATCCATTTCTTTCATTCTGATATAACTGATTACCACACCATACCCCTCTGAGACTGCCATTTTTCCCTTTATCTTTGGAGACATGTTTTAGAGTAGGAATTTCTCAGAATTCTGATGCAACTAGTTCTTTGACTTAGCCATTTACTAGTTTAAGACCTCAACACCTTTCTCTTTAGGTCTCAGCTACTTAATATGGTTCCTATATGTGGAAAAATGATATGGATCTTAGAATTCTATGGCAAATATTTAAGAGCATGATTGATATGATTGGTTTTAATTAAACTTTCTACTTAAATACAATATAAAGATGATGATGACAATTATGATGATGATCTGCTAATAATATTTGACTTATCTTTAAAATATACTCTCTACTTTCCTAACAAAATTCTTAAGTCATTGAAGGCTAACTTTGCTGTTATATTTCTCTGTATCTGTCTAATAAAAAATTGTGAGGCAAATGCTAAAATTCAAATCTTTAAGTGCCAAACAATTACTAATGAATGGCAAATTTAGTTAACAGTATTTTGATAATAATCTGCCAACATTTTAATCTTCCACTTTAATTCTACCTTGAATTTTAAAGTATTTTTCTCTTCCAGAGAGATCTCTTTGACTAAAATCTTTCACTTACTTTCCAATAACATTATTAACATAGTTTTCTTTCTGCAATTTTTCAATATTTTTCTTTCCAGATGTTTTTCTTACATTTGGAGGACTATCATGAAGTATAATAATTTTAGAAATGGTATGATCTCATAAACTATTACCAAATGACTCTATGAACTTTATCGATGAATCCTTGCATTAAAAAAGATTTATATACATTCATGTTTGGTATATTTATATTTGATCATAAGCAAACAACTCCTCTCTCCATCTCTCCTTTCCAAATGGGGGTATTAATGTATTCTTATCTCCATCTTGGTGACACTTTATAGACCATGAATGCCCTAGGCCTCTTCCATGCATGGTTTGAGTAGAGAAGAGGCTCATGCCTTGGGTTTCAGCTCATGTTTCCCCATCATCAGGGATTAAACAGGAGCTGGCGACTTACTGTAACACCTGAGTGTTGATGTTACTGTAAGGCCAGGATCCATGACAGGAGTCAATGCAGAGAAAATACACTCAGAGCAGTAGAGACCCTTCCACATAGACATCAGGAGAAACAGACTCACTTTTCTGAGATCTCACCTCCTTGGGGGTTCCAACACCCATTCTCTTATGCTTAATGGGTAGAAGCACAACACCACATAGTCAGGGTGTGAACAGAGAATAACTAGTTCCTATGAGAAAGCAAACATCCTGGTTTCCACTGTTTCCCTCTAATGCTGTCATCTTACTTTGCATCTTACTATGATTTATTTCAATCATTAAGCCAACTTAAGTGTGCCTTCATCCCTTGTTTCCTAAACTTTGCAAGGTTTTGTGCATCTTCCTAAAGGTTTCTTCTGTTCTTTATGGAATTCTGGTTCACTAACAGCAAACTTCTTTAAATCCTATTTAAAGATTTTTCCTATTCTCCTGAAACATACAGGAATGTGAGAGTGTGCATGTACGCATGCATGCACACACACACACAGACTTCTCCATTTCAGTGGAAAGCAACACCATCCTTTCAGTTGCTCAAGCCAAGAATCTGGTTGACTTCTCTCTTGATTTCTTTGGCCCTCATCCAAACCATCAGCAAACCCTTGGTTCTACCTTCAGAACATATACAAAGCTTAGCCAGTCCTAACCACTCTGCTGCTATAACTAGTCTGAAATTCCATCCTCTTCCACTGAGTTGCTATATTCGGTTCCTAACATTAGCTGTACTCCAGCCCTTTGTGCATCCATTATGGATGCTGCAGCTGGGTTATCCTTCAGCTCCCAAGACAGTACTTTGCAATGACTTTCCATTCAACTTAGATAATCTTTACAGCAAACTTCAAACCCTGGAGTATCTGAACACCAGCTCCTTACCTGATTCTGATTTTGTGTCCCTCCACATGCTTCTGTTTTTATCTTCCTCCCTCTATCCTGGCACCTAGGCTGGGTTTACATCAGACAAGGCACTTCCCACCATGGGTCTTTCTCCCAGATGAGCCCTCTACCTGTGGTTCCATTTTCCCACATATCTCCTTTACTCATCCCATTTTTTTTCATTAATCCTGCTCAAATCCAACTTCTCAGTTCAACTAAACTGTTTGAATCAGCTTGGAGTCCACCCAGAACCCACTCTCCCAGTCCCCTTTACCAGGCCCAATGGAGCCTTTTTTTCCAATATTGTACTTAATAATTTCTAAATGTATTCTATTATATTGTTATCTTATTTATTGTGTTTATTTTTGTTTGTTTGTTTTGCCTTTTATTGGTAGAACGTAAGCACTCTGAAGGGAGGGATATCGGTCTATTGATAACAGTATTTCCAACATATCTCAAGCACCTCAAATACTGGTTTGTACATGGTTATCACTCAATTCATATTTGTTGAATAATAAATGATTGACTTTCAGGGGAAGCATTAAATCATAGATCTAAAAGTGTTTTCTGAAATGTAACATATTATACTATTATAATTATTATTTTATTATTATTACTATTATTTATAAGTACACAATCACTGTCCAGTAAAGTTTAATGTCAAGTGCTAAATGAGTAGAATCCATTTTTAGGTATACAGAAAATTTGAAAAGAAGGATCAATTTGTGAAGGTAATAAATTCTAGGAACATGATGACTTGCCATTCCCAGGTATGGTCCTATTGAGCCTCCTGTAGCTTTGATTCCCTATGACAATATGCCAACACTTTTGAATTATGCATTACCTCATATGCACTCCGTATGCCACCTTTCATACCCACTAAAGATATGAAAATTATATGGACTAAAACCTTTTTTTAAATTGAATCTTTCATGCTTTATGAGACCCTTTTGATCTGAGGTTCACAGAAGAGCCAACTCCAACAGCTAAAGGGTGTCTTGGGTCTCCTCTCCTCCCCATCACTTCTTACCATCATGCATGTCTCTGTTATTATACATCGGACTTTTTGTCTGGCCCAGGTCACTTTAAGGAATGACTAAAATCATAAAGAATGATTCAAAAGTCAACTGCAAACTTTAGATTCTAGTTTTTCTGAAGCTATAGCTCTCAGAGTTAGGTTTACAGTTTAACAAGACTGCATAATCTATTCAAATAACTAATTTGATAATTTTCCTACTCCACCCCCTCAATCAGGTGACTGGTTTGTCAAGTGAGTTAACCAAATAAGCTAATGATTCTAACATGTTAAGAAGGTCCTGAATGAAGAAAAAAGGGAGGAGAGAGATATATGGGGCTGGTTGGACATAGGAAGTGAAATAGCTGCATTAGGAGTTAGAAAGAACTTAGCAAATTTAGAGTTGTAATTTCAACTCTTAGTGTCCCAAAGGGCACAGAAATTGGGAACACTGGGATTTATTAAACCTGTCTGCTCTTCAAGCATGGACCCCTCCATTCATATTTTCTGTGCGCTACTAGGTCCCTCTGTGGAATTGTTCAACAGGGAAGAGGGAACAATGGAGGTGGTCTGAATATGTATCCCATACACATTCTAGAAACCTACAAGTTATATTGATTCATTTATATGAAATATCCTCTTTGTGCCCTGACTCTGTAACCATATGTACTCAAAAGTACCCAAATAATCCTTTTGATAAATTCTCTAACTAGTTGATTCAAACTCGTCTGATTTTTCTCTGATATTTCTTGGCTGATTGCATGGATTCAATTTCTATTTATCTATTTACATTAGTATTATTAAAAAAAATCCAACCTCATGATGTCATATTTGCCTCAATAAGGGCATTAAAAACATGGTCATGTATCCACAATCTAATAAAGTTAGAATTTCATAATAACTGCTCAAATTACCTCTAGTTTTTTTTTTCTGAAACTATAAGGTATAAGTTAATATATGCTGACATCTTCCTTTCAGATCTAAAAATAAATAAGTAAATAAATGAATTAAACAAAATAGTTCACCCTATTAGCTCCTTAAATTAATAATAAAATGTATATTAGTTAATGCATTTATGACATTTTTCACTAAGACAAAGAGTTCTTTGTCATCATATATAAAATTTTTAGTAAAAAAAAAAAAGGGTCAAAATTCTTTTGCTAAGGAGGAAAAAAGGAAAAAAAAAAGCATGATCTTATTCCATGTAGTATGGAACTGATTAGTCCTCAATTGTTTTTCAGGCACATAAAAATTCTTAGTAACAGGGGACCAAATGGCCCATCAGGATTTATGTTTATAAAACAACAATGGATTGAGGCTTTAGTTTTACTTACATGAAGTAATAAA